TTCCCTACAGCATAAAACCAAAGGTTGCCTTTAATCATGTATATCATGTGATCCCTTTTTCAACCACCCTCCAGTTGCCACAATCACTGCCAATGAAATATAAATTTTGTACTAATGTATACTTGTATTGGGCAGTCTTTCAATCTGACTATATCATTGTTCATGTGTATTAATAACAGAACTTACAGGTGATATGGACTCTGTTTAAAGAAGCTATCCACGCTAAAGAAATGAGCAGCATAGCAGGAGGACCTAGAACTATTAATTGCATAACTGTTCCTAGTACCCTAAATAAGCACCAAGTATCACAAAATTTTCAACTTAAACAGAAAATCTCACTGCCAAACACAAAGCAAAGGTAGTTTCAATTTTGAATCACGGTACATAACCAAGCCGAAAATCATATTAGCTAATCCACAATTTACATATGTAGTTTTCTTGTGATCACTACTGAGTTTACTGGACTTAACTCCTAACCAACTTAATCCCAGTGCAGAAACAGGGAAAAAAGAAAGAAAGATCAAGAAACAGCATCTTTTATCAAAAATCAGACTCGGTTTCCTCAAACACAACTTGGTATCCTCTAACCTATAACAAGAGATTAAAAAAAAAAAATTAAAAGAAACGTGATTGAGTTCACTTTGCTAACTTACTATGCAAACTCAGATCTAACCAAAAATTTGCCAAGCTAAGCCAAATTTACTAAAGTCGAGCATACCCAATGAAGGTGTAATACTGACCTGCAAATTCGAGATTCATTCAAATCAATGAGACGCCACAGTGCTACATCGAATGAAATAAAACAAGAAGAAGAAGGGTTTCCCGTAAAGCACAAATATAAAACCCAACAAGAAGGGCTCAGCGTAACAACACGAAATCCCGGTCCCTTTCACCCCAAAAACAGAAAAATAACAAAAAGGGGTTTTTCTAATAAGCAAAAAAGCATTGAAAATAACGATAATCGGAGAAAAAGTGAAGCGATGCCCACATAAGTATTCAACTGCCTGACGAAGCTGGAGAAGTTGTTGTGCTTGAAATGTTTGGGCAAAATGTCTGTGGCGAATTGGGGAACGTTCCACACGACAAAGGTGTTGTTTTTTTCGCCCCACGAAACCACCGAGTCGGTCGAAGGGTCATCGACCATGTCGTAGGTTTTGCTCAGAAACGGTGCCACGCAAACACTGTTCCATGATGCTCCCTCCATAACGGATCAACAAAAACTGGTTCCTATGCTTGAACCGAATTCTAGGTTTTGGGTTTATTGCAAACGGAAGAAGATGAAAGGAAAGTATCGCACACCCTCAAACGTACTCTCTACTCGCTTCAACACTCCTTTTATTTCTTTCTTTTTATTTACAAATTTTTTTTCTCATTAAAAATTATTTAAGTGATTACAAAAATAATAAATCAAAAGAGATAAGAACAAGTTACAAGAAGTTTAAGAAATGTCTTGTCTTCATAAATAAAAGTTCCTTAAAACATTATTTTTTTTTAAATAACCTATAAAAATGTTATAATTTAACATATTATTGTAATTTATATGTAGAAAAAAAATTATTTTCTAATATTATTTACTTTATATAATTATTATAATTTTTAGTAAACAAATTTGAGTATATATAAATTATATTATAATCATCATTATAATAAATAAATATTTTAAAATATATAAATTATATTTTAGATAATAAATAGTTTGAAATTTTATAATCATAGATGCTCTTAAATAATTATTAAAACTTAATTTAAATATAGTAATAAAATATAATAAATTAAATCTGATGCATTTTTTTATTATACCAACTTGTCGTTTGAAGTGAAATCTTTTTATGCATTGTTAGTGTGAAATTTGGAGTAGAGTCCAATGAACCAATATTTTATTTTTTTTATTTCAGTCCAACGATTGGACTAAAAATTTGTCTGCTTAACCTATTGTGAGTTGCAGGTTGAATGCGATAGTCCATCAACCATTTTTTAAAAGAAAATTTTAATCACAACACTATAATAATCGGTCGCAAGTAAAATTATTAAGTTGTTAGTGTTTTATAATATTTTTTTTTCTTCATAAAAATACAGTGACAAAAACATGGGTTAAACTTACAACCTTATATTTATTACTTCAACTTCTTACTACTAAACTAATTTTAATTGTATTATAATAATATTATAATTTCATCATTAAAATGTAAAATATTTAAAATTTTCCATCTTTTTATATGAAAAATAACTAATTAATTAATCAAAATCAATAAAAAAAATAGTTAAGATAGTTAATTTGTAAAACAATATCGTAAATTTAAATTTTATTTTTAAAAAAAATACATTTTAAATAATAGTACATTCAATGAGACTATATATAATTTGAAAAACTTTTTTTTATCAATAAAAACAATTTATATTTTTAATTAATCAATAAATGTATCTGTTTGCATAAAAAATAAAAAATAAGGAAGTATCTTATCAATATATTTTATAGTAAATAAAAGATTAAAAATAAATTAACATTAATGCACATTAAAATAAGTTTGTGTTTTTTATAATTAGAACAAAAAAGTACTTATTTGTTTTTTACACATAATATCATAGATATTATAGTTACAAGATAGTGAAGTTTTTCTTGCATGTCACAAAACACATTTTTTTAGACCATCTAACAAAGTAATTACCTACATATTTCAGATTCAACATTTTAAGGATTGTGAAATGCTTAACCAAGTAAATATTTATATCTTCCAAATTAAACATTTAAATTATCCAATGGATGGTTTTTTATTTTGTTAGACTTAACATTTGAAAGGGTATGAATTATATGATTAAGTTTAATAGATCGATTGATAATAAAAAAAAAAATTAACCATTCAATTGGTAAAGTCAATTTAATGTCACAACTAACAACCTTGTATACTAATAACTAGAAGATGATAGAAAATCCATGACTTATAAGCTTAATCATTTTCAACCATTAAACTAAGACACTATAAACTTCCTAAAAATATTGGAAAATAAAAAATGTTATACTTGTAAAACAAACATGAATAACCTTAATCATATTGAATCACGTTAAAGATCATTAAATTATTTTTACACTAAATTTCAAGAATTTTTAGTGTACATGTTTTTTTTTACTATGAATACTTGTTGGATTTTATTTTTTAGCACAAATATTTAACTTTTACTATGTTTTGATAAAAATTTCAATAAAAATTTATAACATAAGAAAATTAATTGTTAAATAAATATTTTTTTTATCAATTAAAATAACTCATGTACATCAATCGAAGATAGATAAGAAAATTTTATAAAGTCGGATTACATAAGTTAACTTATGTAAAAAGTTTGTTTTTTAATCTCATAACTATTTACCATTTATATGGAAATTTATCAAAATATTAATTTAGTAAATTTAATTTAACATAAATATATAAGGATGTAAACATAAAAAATCAAAGAAATTAAACCCTGCTAACAATATTTTATTGAGCCATTTACTTCAATTTTTAGACCCAATTCAATATTCATATAAAGAGTTCATGTGGTCATAATTGAACATAAAAACTAATTCATCCTAAATTTTATTCAATTACCAACATAAAGTACGATAAAAGTAGGACAACATTTGAGTTGTTTCACTGGAAAAACAGCTTCCTTATCTATCCATTTGGCGGTAAGCTATATTGTTATTCTTCTTTCCCCTTCAATCAGAAAAGAAAGGCATGGTTGTGTTGATTCCTCTTTATTGTCTCTCTTTCCACCATTCTCTTCGCAATCACACAACCCTTTTGCCCCTCTCCAGACCCACTACCTCCACTCTTTGCTTCCACTCTCCCAGTATTCAAGCAAAGGCACCTTTTTTCGCCGACTCCGACTGGTTCCAAGTGGGTCGACCCATTGGCACCTATGGCTTCATCAACGTCACCAGGTTCTTCCCTTTCCATCCAAAGCAATTCTACATCTATTTCACCACTTGGGTATGAAAAAAAGTTTTCCTTTTTTGTTTCTGATTTTACCCAGCTACTCTGCCTTCCCCTCTGGGCCTGGTACTGACTATTCACTTGAAGACTTGGGAGGGATCAAAACTCAAGATGTTGGAGAAGGCAATGTCAAAATCAGGTATTGTATTCACACATTCAACCAATTGCATTTGGATGAAGATTGAATCACTCATAACTAAATCAGACTTGCTTAAAACACGAACGAGTAAACACCTACTTTCATTCTTGAATTTGAAAGGCGCTATTATGTTAGTTTCTGAAATTAAGAAATTATAAGATTAGCCCTTGAGAATGTTAATTGACAATCACATTATTCCAAAATTTGTGATTTTTAATAAATTCCAATCAACAATAGAGAGAACGTTATAAAGAGAATGTTTGAGAGTGTCTCTAGCATTTCCCTAATGATAATGATAATATATACTCATGGAAGTTTGTTCTATGTTGCAGGCTTTATGAAGGGAGAGTTTCTCGGGGTCCACTTACAGGAACTCCGGTAACTTTTAAGGTAGTAAGTAGGATCATAATCTACCTCTTCACGTGTTCATTTTCATGTGTTGTATTGAGCATAGAAATTCATAACGAAAAGACAATGAGTGAAGGTTTATCCTGGAAGGCGAGCTGGGGGAGTTGTGGCTGATGCACTTGCCGCAAATGAGTTGAATACACATTTGTTTCTTCAGGTGAGATAATTGGATATGTGTATCTCTTTCTGCATAATTTAATCCTTTGTCCTTTGATATCAATTCATAGTGCTTTTCTTTCTTTTTTTGTAAATCCTTCTTGCCGGTTTACACTTTCCCTTACAGAACAGTTCTAAAGGTATCGGTCAGCATCTTGTGCTGCTTGTTGGTGGGTTTGAAACAGCCACTGGAGAGCAGGTTTGTTCTATGAAATAACATAAATTCCTCCACTTCACATTCCTTGGCTCCAATTCTGTTGATTATGTTTATGTTAGAGCAATATGTTTGATCCAGTGGCTTGCATTTCGTGATGATGGGAAATATAGTGCGGCAGACTATGCAAAACTTGCAAGCGAGAGGGTATCGAAAGACCGAGAAGTGGCATCCTGGAATCCCTTTGAACGAGCAGAAAGAATCAAAAGAAGACAGTATTTTATTATAAAGCTGCTTCAAGGCGTCATGAGGGGTTTAGCTTACTTGCACGACCATGATAGATTGCACCAAAGTCTAGGACCGTTTTCTGTGGCTCTCAAGTATACAACTAGCAAGCATTTAATTTTGCTCAAGATTTTTCATTTGACTTATACCTTCTGACCCTACCTTTAATGTGTTTGTAATATGATGTCAGCACAATTTCAGAAAGAGAATCTTCTTATTTGATTCCAAGACTCCGGGATCTAGCCTTTTCTGTTAATGTCAGGTAAGGTAATGGTTTGTCGAGCTCTTTTGTCTTGAATTAACCTGTTATTAATACATTGATAAAACATATTTTTCATATGCACATGACATGAAAAAACTGTTATCTTTTGTCTCTTCTGTTTTTTTTATTTGTTTTTTTTATTTGCTTGTTTTTATCTTTTACGTGAACTTTGATTTTTGTGTGTGTAATATGTTGCACTTCTTATTGGCAATCATTGGTGTAATCTTCATGCCCTTTTTCTTTTCAGGATATAACTTTTTCTATTGTGTATTTTGTATTTCTAGTCTATTTTGTGTGGTTTGGTTTCACTTGAGGCCAGAGTTCAAAATTGTTGCTTTATTTACTGTATGCTAAACATTATACACTTCTACCTACAAGCTGAAGTAGTTTATTACATAAATAGCATTACGTATACTTACATCATTGCAGGTACACAGAACTAGATGATTCAGGACAACTTGCAGAGGGGCTTTGGAGAAGAGCATCAGGTGCTGGTGCATTCACACAAATGGAGAAACGGGCTTTTGGAATAGCTGATGACATGTAACTTGTCAGAACTTGGGTCAATGCAGAAGTTTGTTTCAGCATCTTTTTCAGATTACCTATTTCTTTTTATGAGTTCCAATGCAGATATGAAGCAGGTCTTCTTTTTGCATACTTGGCTTTTGTTCCATTCTGTGAGGCTGGTGCAATGGATAGCCTTTCCTTGCAAGTAAGCCGAGCTGCCAATATGACTTTGTTTTCGGTAGCTGATAATTCTTTTCTGTGGAAGTTTTCCTTCCCATAAGACAATATCTTCACTGAAGTTTTTGTTGGCCGTGAAATTCAGAGGCTTTTGGAGAACACTTTCCAACTTGATCTTGAAGCAACACGAGAGTATGTTATCTTCTAGTTTAATTTCTGGTTTAATCTTGCGTGGAAACTCAGAGTGGCATATGTTACTGTGTAATTTTATAATCTAATCTTTCCTTTGGTTGAGTTATACTTATTATGGGCATGAGTTAGTCATAAGAACAAATAGCTGAAATAATACTGTGTATTTATAGAAGTTCCCAAACTAAATATGCACTTTTTCAGCATGTCTAAACTCTGAAGAAAAAACAGCCTAGTGAAAGACTGAAAGTGTATATTTACGTTTTATTAGTTCATTACTTTTGTCTCATTTTATTTTATTCTTCCTTTGGCAGGTATTGTGTAGCAGATGACAAATTAGTGAATGCTGTCGAGTTCCTGGATCTAGGTGATGGTGCTGGTTGGGAGTTACTTCAGGTATTTATATGTCTGTTAGTAAGAGCAACTATTAGTGAATAGCTTTGAGTGAGTGAGTGTTAAGGTAATTGGCTGATTTACGTCAGTGCCTAAATATGTGAGGACTACCATATTTTAGTTTTAGTAAGAAAGATTTCCAAAGTTGATGAAAATATCATAAGATTATTTTGTATTACAATATTGTTGATTTTTATAATAACTATTTTAAAAAAGTAAATTACAGTGATACTCTTGGAATTTGTGAAATTGTACAAACATTCCTTTTATCTCTACCATTATAATAATTTCCTTAATTTGTGTAAGAAAGGTTATTGTAAACGTTAATAAAGCAGAGGTGTCAATGTAATTTCATCAAACTTCAGGGTGTCAATATAATTTCCTTAAGAAAGGTTATTGTAAACATCATAATTATTTATATTTGGTTGGCACTTGGCAGTGTAAAACATAAAAATTAACCTCAAATGTAACTATGCCTTTTCTGCTCTAGCATTTTTGGGATCACAAACAGCATGTTCTCATTACTACTTCAATTCAAGTGTGAACTTGTGTAATTCAGGAGCTATTACACACAGAAGTTCATGGTGTTGTACTCTTAATTTCCAGGCAATGCTTAATGCTGACTTTCGAAGGAGACCAACCGCGGAGGCTGTCCTCAATCATCGGTTTATGACTGGGGCAGTCCTTTGAATTTCAAGGTCAAAGAACATAGTTGTGTGTGTCTTTTATGAACTATATCTGCCACATGGCTCCCTGCATAATGTATATCTGGTTATTAGTTTTTAATTTTTATTACTTATTTAGATTTTTTTATTTGGAATAATTTATTGTTATTTGCTTTGTAGAAAATTCTGTTCTATTTTGGATGATCTTATTGAAGCTTAGAATAGAAGTAATGTGTTAGGGTGTTTGGAGTTATTGGTCAATAAATAGTTTGATTATCATATGTCTTATTTGATGTATAGAGTATATTCGAGTCGTTTTGTTTTATTATCATATGATATGATATATAAAATCATTTTGGTATCAATGTCATTCATAAATGGTTTCTCTATTTTTTTAGAATTATATATATAT